CCGCGCGGTGCCTCGAGCCGGGCTGAGGGCAGCGGCCGCGGTGAACGCGCTGGGAAAGAGGGCGCGGAGCGGGTCGCGCATCCGCCTGCGCGCGCGGCCGAGAARTCGCGTGGCCTCCCGCTGGCGACGCTGGAGCTGCGGTGTCAACGGAGCCAACTCCGTGAAACCCGTGTTTCGGCCACAGAAATAAAGYCAAAAGCGCTGGTTTGCAAAAGGGCTTGCCACGCTGCGCCATGCGAAGGCACGCAGCGCCCTGCGCATGTCCTTAGTTATGCTGCTCCCTGAGTGGGATCTAGTCTCAAGAGCGGTTCCTGGAGGAATCCTTGCAGGAGATACAGCCAGAAGAGCGATTCCTGACAAAGTCCTTGGGGGGAATTATTCCTGAAGGAATCCCTCATGGGGATCTAGCCAAAAGGAACTGAAGGATTCCTTCAGAATCATTCAAAAAACAGAAAAGAGGATTCCTGACTGAACTCTGTGTTGCACTTAGGAATGGGCTGGCAACACCACCTTTGGAGTTCCTTGTGTTGCTTCAGTTCAGCTTCAGTCACAAAAGAGGAACAGGCAAGGGTGAATTTATACCGATTTGGACAGGAATACTTCTCCAAGAACGCTGAGCGAGGACTCGCGTTACTGCTATTGCACATGGTGGTGGTGCCTCATAAGAATTCCCTCCATAAGCATTTAAAAAGTTGTGGGTTTTGGTAAGCTTAATGGAATTTGCATAAACGCTTCCCTTCAATGTCCTCTTCAGAAGTGCACCATTGCCCTGAAGTATCAGGAATCACAGAATCATAGAATCGTTCTGGCTGGAAAAGATTGATCATCGAGTCCAACCATAGGCACCTCAACACCGTGCCTGTTAAACCATGTCCCTAAGCACCTGATCTCCATGTTTTTGAACATTGCCAGGGAGCTTACAGCGCACAGTAATGCCCCAGGGTGCTACAGTATCAGGAGCAAGAAAACTCTTTTTTTTTTTGAAACTTTTTTTTTTCACATTTTCAAAACCTTTAGTCCRTGTTGGTGATGGGTTATATATGGGTATATATTGGTATAGCTTAGTTATGGGTGGTATAACTTAGTATGGGTATAACTTAGTTGTTTTTAAAGAGCTAACTTCGCGATAAGTTAGATTTTTAATAAAACTTTCATGAACTTACATCTAGAGCAATCTTGCAGAAATCAGGTAAGATGTGATATGGAAAAGTGATTGCAGTGCTTAAGTAATGGAATTTTGAGGAAAAAAATCATGACTTCACATAAGCATGGAGGAAAAGCGAGGATATAAGAGGAATCTTGATGTTTCTTTATTTCCAAAATRTTTTTAACTATGATGAAAATATTTTTGCTAGCTCATCATAATCCTGGTTTAGAATTCTCTAAAAAACCCAGAATCTTAATATCATCTTCTAAAGTCTCTTGCATTTTCATTCTCTGCTGTATTCATTGACTGTCTTTTTATCCAAGTCTAACAAGTGTGAAACTTTAAAACTAGGCCAAGAAAATTCTCTTTCAACAGAATAACCCTTATAATTATCTTTTTTTGTTCCTAGTTTTTCTCATAGACAATCAGCAAGTGGTGAGGGAGAAGGGAGTTTAGCTCTCCTTTTATTTTCTAGCAACATGTTTTTAGAAATGAATTTGGGAACATCTGCTCTCAGACTCTGCGTTGCTTCAATCTAAGCACAAATGCCTATATAATCATGCAGTTGTTCATAAAAGATAAAATCAGAGAAAAGGATGGAAAGGAATACTTGCCATATGTACAGTTGTAGCTTCCTAGCTATTTCTAGCAAAATGTCCAAAAGTATTATAAGTTTGCACTTTGATTTTAGGCAGAATATGACTTMTTCATTAATTTTTATTTCAATGATATGTCAAAGC